TCCAAACACGGCGAGTTGAGTTGATGCCAAAGAGCTCGATTTTGGTCTCATCTGACCACAACACTTTCACCCAGTTCTCCTCTGAATCATTCAGATGTTCATTGGCAAACTTCAGACGGGCCTGTATATGTGCTTTCTTGAGCAGGAGAACCTTGTGGGCGCTGCAGGATTTCAGTCCTTCGCGGCGTAGTGTGTTACCAATTGTTTTCTTGGTGACTATTGTCCCAGCTGCCTTGAGATCATTGACAAGATCCTCCCGTGTAGTTCTGGGCTTATTCCTCACCGTTCTCATGATCATTGCAACTCCATGAGGTGAGATCTTGCATGGAGCCCCAGGTCGAGGGAGATTGACAGTTCTTTTGTGTTTCTTCCATTTGCGAATAATTGCACTGTTGTCACCTTCTCACCAAGCTGCTTGGCGATGGTCTTGTAGCCCATTCCAGCCTTGTGTAGGTCTACAATCTTGTCCCTGACATCCTTGGAGAGCTCTTTGGTCTTGGCCATGGTGGAGAGTTTGGAATCTGATTGATTGATTTATTCTGTGGACAGGTGTCTTTTATACAGGTAACAAACTGAGATTAGGAGCACTCCCTTTAAGAGTGTGCTCCTAATCTCAGCTCATTACTGTCACACCCGGGCTCTGGGACTCTATATGTTGAGCCAGGGTGTGGTTATTCTATGTGTGTATTTCTGTGTTTGCCTTAGTGACTCCCAATCAGAGGCAACGAGTGTCAGCTGTTCGTTGGTTGTCTCTGATTGGGAGCCATATTTAAACTGTTTGTTTTTCATTCGGGGTTGTGGGATTTTGTTCGTATTTGGTTAGTGTATGACCATTGACTATCACGTCGTCCTTTTGTTGTTTTGATCGTGTGATCATTAAATTTAATAAATATGTTCACATTCAACGCTGCGCCTTGGTCCTTTTCCGCAGACGATCGTGACAGAAAATCCCACCAAGATGTGACCAAGCAGCGTGTCCAGGAGCCATCGCCAGGGAGATCTCTAACAGATCTCCTTCGCCTCCTCGACTGGGTCAAGCCGAGTGAGGAGGAGAAGGGCTTGACATTGTGGCAGAAGGGCGAACGGCTGGCGAGGGACATGGAGACCTGGTCCACGGGTAGGAGAGACGCCCCGAAAATTTTTAGGGGGGGGCTAACGCCGTGGACGACGGGGCGGCAGGAGACCGCGACAGAGCAGCCCAGCGGGTGTGCAGAGGAGGCCGCCAGGTTAAGGGGGCCACTGGTCAGAGAGGAGAGGGAAAGTGTGGAGGCACGGCGAGAGGTACTGGGGTGTGTTACCAGTCCGGTCCGGCCCGTTCCTGATCCCTGCATCGAGCCTGTGGGGCGCGTCGCCAGCCCGGTCCGGCCCGCTCCTGTTCCCCACACCAAGCCAGTGGTGTGCGTCGTCAGTCCGGCACGGCCCGTGCCTGTTCCCCACACCAAGCCAGTGGTGTGCGTCGTCAGTCCGGCACGGCCCGTGCCTGTTCCCCACACCAAGCCAGTGGTGTGCGTCGTCAGTCCGGCACGGCCCGTGCCTGTTCCCCACACCAAGCCAGTGGTGTGCGTCGTCAGTCCGGCACGGCCCGTGCCTGTTCCCCACACCAAGCCAGTGGTGTGCGTCGTCAGTCCGGCACGGCCCGTGCCTGTTCCCCACACCAAGCCAGTGGTGTGCGTCGCCAGTCCGGCCCGGCCTGTTCCGGCCACTCACACCAAGCCTACGGTGCGAGACGTCAGCCTGGTAAGGCCCGTTCCTCCTCCACGCATCAAGCCAGGGGTGCGCATCGTCAGCCCGGTCCGGTCCAGTTCAGCTCCTACCAGCGGGGCCAGATCGGACCAGGGGCGCTATGGGGGGATTATTGGGGGATGGTGGGCAAGCCCGGAGCCAGAACCGCCGCCGAGGAGGAATGCCCACCCAGCCCTCCCCTGTTGGGTTCTAGTTGAGGCGCGGTTGCAGTCCGCGCCTTTAGGGGGGGGTACTGTCACACCCGGGCTCTGGGACTCTATATGTTGAGCCAGGGTGTGGTTATTCTATGTGTGTATTTCTGTGTTTGCCTTAGTGACTCCCAATCAGAGGCAACGAGTGTCAGCTGTTCGTTGGTTGTCTCTGATTGGGAGCCATATTTAAACTGTTTGTTTTTCATTCGGGGTTGTGGGATTTTGTTCGTATTTGGTTAGTGTATGACCATTGACTATCACGTCGTCCTTTTGTTGTTTTGATCGTGTGATCATTAAATTTAATAAATATGTTCACATTCAACGCTGCGCCTTGGTCCTTTTCCTCAGACGATCGTGACAGTTACCTGTATAAAAGACACCTGGGAGCCAGAAATCTTTCTGATTGAGAGGGGGTCAAATACTTATTTCCCTCATTAAAATGCAAATCAATTTATAACATTTTTGACATGTGTTTTTCTGGATTTTTTTGTTGTTATTCTGTCTCTCACTGTTCAAATAAACCTACCATTAAAATTATAGACTGATCATTTCTTTGTCAGTGGGAAAACGTACAAAATCAGCAGGGGATCATATACTTTTTTCCCTCACTGTACAAATGTTATGGACATACATAATCAGGCAAGACTTTAGCTTATGTGACAGAGGACATTGGACAATAGTCATGAATACATTTACTCAATAAAATTTTATTTTTCAAATTATCTTTCTCAAAAACGTTTGTATATTGTCCCATACAATAATCTGTATAATCTATAAAAATTTACAATTTTGGCGACCCAACTGCAGGTTCACGACCCCAACTTTGAATCCCACTGTTATAGGTTGACTTGTTGTCTCTGGTTGTGATATGAGAAGATATAAATCCCACTACTTTAAATTATCTATGAGCGGTGGGAGGGTATGGGCGGTGGGAGGGATATGGGCGGTGGGAGGGATATGGGCGGTGGGAGGGATATGGGCGGTGGGAGGGATATGGGGGATAGTGAGAAGAAATAGTCCCTGGGCAGTGGACAGAACAGGGATTGATTCAGGAATCAACGGTGCATTGATATTTGTTTTCTTCTGGCTCAATGTTTCCTGACCGTTACTCAGTCAGGTTATTTACATCAGTTTGGATTCACTATGGGCCGATGCGGGTGAAGTAGCACCTTGGGAAGTCAAACCACATTACTTTTCACGGGGTACTGGGCCGAAAAAAATCGTAACTTTACTCCCAAATACAGATTAAATATCATACGATAACCTGGGTATGAGGACTCAGTATTATAGATCGACTCTATAGTATTGGGACGGCAGGTAGCGTAGTAGTTAGACCATTGGGCCAGTAACCGAAAGGTCGCTGGTTTGAATACCCGAGCCGACAAGGTGGAAAATCAATGTGCCCTTGAGCAAGGCACTTAAGCCTGATTTGGTCCAGGGGTGCTGTACTACTATGGCTGAGCCTGTAAAACAACACATTTCACTGCACCTATCTGGTGTATGAGACAATAAAAACATATATATTTTTTTTGTAAAAGGTTACAATGGAAACCCACATCTAAAAGTCAAGTGTACTGAATCCATCCATTCATCCATTATGGAAAGTGTTGTCATGCTCTGAGAGACAGAAAGGGTTTTGGTTTAAATATTTGATGCACAGGAACACTTGATTCCTTTGCAATGAGGGAAACCCTGTAGTCTACCCCTCAGCATACTATGCTGTCTGAACATACCCTGCAGGAGGTTGATATCCTCCTTTAACCTGTAGTCCTCCTCAACTACACCTGGTTCTGGACTGTAACTCATCTGCGGACTGCTTATGAATCATTGAGGGGAAAGACTTCTCCTTTGAGAAGTCACAATGCTGTAGCTTCCAAAATGGGTTGGTTGTACGATTTGGGGAATTTCTCAGAAAACACATTAGACTTCGCAGGTTGTCTATTTTTAGAAATGATCAAAGCTGTTCGACTAACAAGATTTTTCTTGGAATAGAGAGAGGAATGGAACATTGCCTGCTCAGCTGGACTGACACAAAACTGCTTCTGGCAAGAAAATAGCCTGTCTAAAGGGGTTCTGCCTCCCATTTAAAGTGGGCATGAAGCCCTGTATTGTAAGGGTTCAGATGAGTTAAAACTCAGAGTAGACTCATTATATATACATGCATTAATGAGAGCAGAAGTGATTTCAACCAGTGAACGCTCTATTAATAATGGCTAATAACAAAATAAAGGAGAGAGTTTGAATGACCTCTTTAAATGTATTACCACATTACCTACATCGCTAATGGATGTGGGGTGCATCAACTTATGCAAAGTTTCAAACTGGAGAGGACTAAAAATACGGGGCCAAGTGCGTCAGGGCGGGGGTGAGAGCCAAGTCAGCTCATTATTAATTAAAATTGACGAATTTAAATGATTTCCCCGACAGGCTGTACCCTTTACAGTAATTTGGGCACAGTGGAGCGTTTTGGCATCGAGACGCTCTGTAATTGCTTAAACCTCACGCTGATTCCCCTTCTGTGGGTTTTAGGATATCTCCAAAATAAACAGGGGGAAAGTGAAAAGTGGGAAAGAAGGAGAACCAGGGATGGCGTGCTAATTCCACCACCCAGAGTTCCCTAGCACAGCAGCACCTGCCATTAGAAAGGTGCTTCTCGTTATTGGGCTGCTGGGAGGCCAAAGAGCGACTGGAGGGGAAACAATTCGTCTATTTATACAGTACATGCAAAACAAGGTTTATTTATATTTTCAAATCGTCTGTTTCATTGTCTGACAGCCTATCATTTCCCCATGTCATCAGACACGTCTGTAGACATGAGCACAGTGCAGCACACAGCAGGCCATTGTAGCAAATAACAGCCGTTTATTCCACAAATAGTCTGAACTAGCCTTCACCTGTAACTGTGAACCATAAGTAGGGGAATGCTGTGGTTCTTTGTCAGGTCTGCCCCTTCATCTGAAGAAATGAGAAGGTGGTGAAGGGGAGGTCTTCGATGGAATGTCTCCCACAGAGTTACATATGTTGCTGTACTTGTTATTCCTCCAATGCTCACCGGTGTCTGTTCTCCCTCTCTCCTAGCATGTCAGGACAACAGCAGTGGACGCTTCTGGCCGTCATGGCCCTCCTGGTGCTCACAGTGACAGCAGGCGAAGGGGGGAAAGCTGAGAAACAAGGTGAGAAACGGACAGAATGGTAGCAGTCAGACAGACAGCTGATATATGGATGGAGGGGGATCTCCTATTACAGTACCTGCTACAAGGTGTGAATGGTAATTTGATGTAAATCTCAAATCAGGTCAGATTTGTGCATAAATACACTTTAAGCAGGGGGGATCACTGTAGACTCACAATGACAGATGCATATCTCAGTGCTTATATATTTGAATACTTTGACCTGTCACTGTGGTAGTGTAGCTGTCGCTTGGCCTAATTGCAGCCCGCATAATTATGTCCCAGACATGACTGTAGTATAAGGTTGGTGTGTGTGTGTGTGATCCTGCAGGGAAGAAGGAGCGTAAGTCGGACTGTGGGGAGTGGCAGTGGAGTGTGTGTGTGGCCAACGAGGGGGACTGCGGCCTGGGCACCAGGGAGGGCACACGCACTGGCACCGACTGCAAGCAGACCATCAAGACCCAGCGCTGCAAGATCCCCTGTAACTGGAAGAAACAGTTTGGAGGTGTGTGTGTGTGTGTGTGGTCATGGGGAGTGGATTCAAAACACATTTACAATACAGCACGAATATGACTGGTCTAGTGATTTTATGTCATCACACACAATGCAAATTTGGTCATATTTGTTGTTGTGTATCCATGTCATTTCAAGGGGAAAACATTCTGCCATTAAATGGAGTAGGATTTTTCAGTTTTGCTTCAAATTCAGTGTTCATGTATGGACATCCCCAGAGAATGATGGCCTGGTTCTGGAAAAAAACAGCCTGGGTATATCTCTAAACAGAGCAATGAGCTACCTGCCACTATCCCATGTGTAAAGGACATCACGCTGCTTGCTTAGTGAGTATCACTTCCTCCTGATTCGGCTCAAACCGAGGCTTGAACCCAGGATCTCTGCTTTGCTAGCACACGTGACCGACCCTCTGAATTGTCTTACCAGTCGGTGCCACGTGAAAAGCTAGCTATTTGCTGGCGCAAGTGGGGACACTTCAGGCTGAGGAGTATGTTTCACACATCCTCATGTGCTACACGTGTTCATAGCCAAATTATTGGTACAGAGGCACACGCTTTTAGAGCCCACTGTTTTGAAGATCCCTGTAGGATTCCCAGAACAATGGTCCTGTCAACCCCTCCTCATCCCACTCCTCTCCCCTCCGCTCCCCTCAGCCGAGTGCCCTGGGATTTCAGAGCCAGGTGACAGCGGGCCAAGCTTTTCTCTGAGAGGACTGGGGAAACAAGTGTCACAGCCAAGAGGGAGCTACGCCAGAGCCCAACAAAAGGAAGGGAGAGAGGGATTGAGGGAAGACACACACACACACACACACGCACGAATGCGGACACACACATTCTTATACACAAGAACGGGGCATGGCTGTCCTTTCCTGGAACAGCCCTGCATCCTCGGGGGAGGAGTTTAAGGAGGACTCTGAATATAATGTAAAATAAGATCCTTAATGAAATCCAATCTGTAGACTGCTTAAAGGTTTTCCTTACATAAAGAGAAGCAAAGATAAAGAGATAGAGTGGAGGCCCTCTTTGAAAGGCAGAGGATGCCAGACAGTCTGTGTATGGGAAAGACAGATGGAATCTTCAGAGTGGAGAAACTGGAGAATAAAGGAGAGAATCCATACACTGGCTAAAAACACGATGCACCAGTTGGTGGTTGATAAAGAAAGTCCTGGGGGTGAGAATAGTTGGTTCTGGGGTTTTTGATGAGAAGATCAGATTATTTAATGGATAAAGCTCAAATAAATCAGACATTTTATGAAAGAAATGCCTTTCCCAGTAAAAGAAAGCATGTTCCACAACAGCAGCTCTCTGAGCTTGAGGATCCAGGTCTTAATTGCTTATTCTAGGCCGAAATATGTAATTACATTTAATTTGCATTCAATTTGCTTGATCAGTTGTATTCAACCTATGGCATGTCTTCTGGGTGCTACAATCACCATAATACAGGCAACCTGGACTCAGGGGCAGATGTAACATAGTAAAACAAATATCTGGGACGCTCAAATTAGTATGATATGTTATGTACTGCAATTCATACAATATATTACGAATTGGCAATACGCATGATATGTTATGAATTCCAATTTGTTGTGAATAATGTTAGCTAGGTGGCTAGGTGGCTAACACTAACATTAGCGAGGCTAGGGGTTAGGGTTAGAGGAAGGGTTTTCTAACATGTGAAGTAGTTGCAAAGTAGTTACAAAGTAGTTGCAAAGCTGCTAATTAGCTGAAATTGTCTATGATGAGATTCGAACACGCAACCTTTGGGATCTTAGATGTTTGCGTTATACGCCTACCCATCCACCCCGACCAACCACCCTCCATTCGTTTTTTGCCTTAAGTAACCTTCTTATGTAACAATACCAAACGTATACTATGTTACGTCTAGTCTATGAGACCAGCCTGCTAAAGGGGAGCTTGCGTTACCACTAATGGGTGACAGAAGCAGAGTGCCAGTAAATGTTAGTTTTTGTATCTTAACCTATACAGGTATGTCTGTGGCTGTGACAATCCTGTCAAATGTTTTGTATTGTACATGTGTGTCCGTTGTAACCATCCCTATGTAGGTGAATGCAAGTATGACTTCCAGGCCTGGGGAGAGTGTGACATGGCGACGGGGAAGAAGAACCGGACAGGGGTGCTGAAACGCGCTCTCATGGATGCCACCTGTCCTAACACAGTGAGCGCCACCAAGCCCTGCGGCAAGATCCCCAAGACTAAGCTGCAAGGTAGGCTGAGTGGGAGTGTGGGACATTATACCAGCAGAGCCATAGATTTACATATATAGTACACATGTCTCTACCAGTACTGTATATCCTGAAGGATTTGAATGGTAATCTAAACCACTGCAAAGGGAACACATGTTTAGTGAATATTTAACTGGTGTAGGTACCAGTCAATAAATCACTGGGCAAAACGTCTATATACAGTACACGGTTGGAGAGGACACAAAACGAAGTCGAAGGATCCATTTTAAGCACAATAGTCAATACATTGGAGAGTGAATCTCCATAAATGTGCGGAAGCGTTGGAAACGGATATTACTCCCGGTTAATTAAACAGTCAGAAAAGGACAATTTTCACCTGCTCCCTTTGTGCTTTATATTTAAAGCACGTTGCCACTTTCAGTAAACTTTTGTAATCCTATAACCTTGCTAACGTATAGTAATTAGCATATTATTTGGCAGTACTTTCACAGCTCACATCGATTACATCCTGCTGAAGATTCTAAATCCTCTGAATGATTCATGCTGCGATAGTGCTAGACTTGTCAGATATTCATATTTAATCCATCTTCACTATGGTGGAATTAGCCCCTTCACTGAGCCTAATAAGTTCAGTGGGAGTGATTTCTATAAGTCTCCAACTAGGGCGAACTAAGGTAAATACAGTGGGGAAAACAAGTATTTAGTCAGCCACCAATTGTGCAAGTTCTCCCACTTAAAAATATGAGAGAGGCCTGTAATTTTCATCATAGGTACACGTCAACTATGACAGACAAATTGAGGAAAAAATTTCCAGAAAGTCACATTGTAGGATTTTTTATGAATTTATTTGCAAATTATGGTGGAAAATAAGTATTTGGTCACCTACAAACAAGCAATATTTCTGGCTCTCACAGACCTGTAACTTCTTCTTTAAGAGGCTCCTCTGTCCTCCACTCATTACCTGTATTAATGGCACCTGTTTGAACTTGTTATCAGTATAAAAGACACCTGTCCACAACCTCAAACAGTCACACTCCAAACTCCACTATGGCCAAGACCAAAGAGCTGTCAAAGGACACCAGAAACAAAATTGTAGACCTGCACCAGGCTGGGAAGACTGAATCTGCAATAGGTAAGCAGCTTGGTTTGAAGAAATCAACTGTGGGAGCAATTATTAGGAAATGGAAGACATACAAGACCACTGATAATCTCCCTCGATCTGGGGCTCCACGCAAGATCTCACCCCGTGGGGTCAAAATGATCACAAGAACGGTGAGCAAAAATCCCAGAACCACACGGGGGGGACCTAGTGAATGACCTGCAGAGAGCTGGGACCAAAGTAGCTGGGACCAAAGCTGGGAACAAAGCCTACCATCAGTAACACACTACGCCGCCAGGGACTCAAATCCTGCAGCGCCAGACGTGTCCCCCTGCTTAAGCCAGTACATGTCCAGGCCCGTCTGAAGTTTGCTAGAGTGCATTTGGATGATCCAGAAGAGGATTGGGAGAATGTCATATGGTCAGATGAAACCAAAATAGAACTTTTTGGTAAAAACTCAACTCGTCGTGTTTGGAGGACAAAGAATGCTGAGTTGCATCCAAAGAACACCATACCTACTGTGAAGCATGGGGGTGGAAACATCATGCTTTGGGGCTGTTTTTCTGCAAAGGGACCAGGACGACTGATCCGTGTAAAGGAAAGAATGAATGGGGCCATGTATCGTGAGATTTTGAGTGAAAACCTCCTTCCATCAGCAAGGGCATTGAAGATGAAACGTGGCTGGGTCTTTCAGCATGACAATGATCCCAAACACACCGCCCGGGCAACGAAGGAGTGGCTTCGTAAGAAGCATTTCAAGGTCCTGGAGTGGCCTAGCCAGTCTCCAGATCTCAACCCCATAGAAAATCTTTGGAGGGAGTTGAAAGTCCGTGTTGCCCAGCGACAGCCCCAAAACATCACTGCTCTAGAGGAGATCTGCATGGAGGAATGGGCCAAAATAACAGCAACAGTGTGTGAAAACCTTGTGAAGACTTACAGAAAACGTTTGACCTGTGTCATTGCCATCAAAGGGTATATAACAAAGTATTGAGAAACTTTTGTTATTGACCAAATACTTATTTTCCACCATAATTTGCAAATAAATTCATTAAAAATCCTACAATGTGATTTTCTGGATTTTTTTTCTTCTAATTTTGTCTGTCATAGTTGACGTGCACCTATGATGAAAATTACAGGCCTCTCCCATCTTTTTAAGTGGGAGAACTTGCACAATTGGTGGCTGACTAAATACTTTTCCCCCCACTGTACAAGTATTGAGCAGTACAAGTATCAAAATGTAATTCTGTATTCTCTCAGTAACTCCCAGAAGACATCTGGACTCGTCCATTTAAAGAAGACAATTTGAGTCTCTTTCAATTATGTAAAGCAGTGAGACTGAGATGGTCATATGAGATAGTCCAAATATAACTACTTATCACAGAACATGACATGGAGGATTGCAGATTGTGGTTTTAGTTGGCAATTCGCCCAACAGACATTATAGATTTCTAATGTATTTAGTCTCGATTCATTTCACCTCTCTGATACAATGAACTAAATGAGTATCTTAATAGAATAATGACATTTTGATATAAATTAAATTGCATTTTCAATATTTAGGTGAGTCACAGTTAGTCCTGTTTGTCTAACTACTTCATTCAATGCGCTGATGAACACTGGCATTCATTATTCTTCAAACAGTGTTTAACATAAGAAATGCATTTTTTGCTATTCAGTTTGTTATAAGATGTATACCTCATGACCAAACTTGATAAAATGTTCCAAAAGTAAATCAGATTGATACTTTAGTTCAATACTCCATCATTAATACAATGACAGAATGTTACCAAAATGTGGAGGCCAACACACAGATTATCTATTTTCCCCACATAAAGGCTTTATAAACAACTCCCACTTGTCCGTTATTTAGCTGATGACTCCAACTGTTAAAATGAATCAAGTGAGAGCAGAAGATGTTTAAAAATCAAATGAATGTTCCATGATGTTGCCAATAAAGGACTCATGAGGCTAGTGTGTACATTATGTCTAATCTGACTGCGTTGTGAGAAGTAGGCTACTGTGGTGATATGTGGAGAGTGTGAACCTGGAACTGGGTTTGGCAGCAGCCCTGACAGTAATCTGTTATATGAGAGGGTGTGCCAGAACAGAATCTCCAGGAGTGATGGGACAAGCACCTCTTTGTGTTTTAGGCAGGCGGCTAACAGTTAAGACAGTTTTCCTGCTCGAGGACAGAGAAAAACACGCACTCCTGTCAATCTGATTGGGATTTTGGGTTCAATTAAAGTTTCCCTCGCATCCTAATAACCTGGGAGTTAGGGAAATCAAAAGGGTAAAAAGCTGGTAAAACAAATCTCACTGTGAAGGGAAAAAACATGTCAGATTGACAGTGGAGTGGAACCCCTGGTTTGGGTAATGGTTCTCGAAAAAACGACAATATCTTTACACATTAGCCGAGCAAAGCCTATTTAGGATGTCACATGTAAGGAATCTGATCCAAATTAAAATCATATTTGTGCTGGGGTATTTCTTCGGCGCACATGTATTTCAGTGACAGAAATAGCAAGATGACACACAGAAATAACATTATTTCTACAGTGACTAACATTTCATCGTAATCTCTATACAGTGTGTGTGTGTGTGTGTGTGTGTGTGTGTGTGTGTGTGTGTGTGCGTGCGTGCACAAGCACATGAGCAGGACTCTATAGCACTGTAGAATGATCATATACTCCCAAATGAATCCTGTGTGATGAAGGCCAGTCCGATTTTACGTCGGGCCTACTGCCCTGGGGAGGGTGAGAACCCACAGCATGAAAGGAGGAGGAAGGGATGACAGTGGAGGAGAAGAATGGAGAGAGTTGAAAAGAGAGACCTGCTATCTGAGAGTATGATTTCCCATGTCTGCCAGTTGACAGATAAGCCCTAGTAAGCTAAGGGGTTACTGGGAAACAGAGAGGCTGACAATGTGTGTGTGTGTGCGTGTGTGTGCTTGCCTCTGTGTGTGTTGGAAGGGGATTACGGCCAAGCAGAGTCGCAGAGGAGGGATCAGAGGACTTGTAATGAACCCCGGCTACAGAGCGAGGGACTATCTCACTTCCGGCTGGGGCCACCATATCCGCCCAGTCATATTTGCAATTCTAAACAGCCACCTTGTCTGCTGCTGCCAGGAGCAATGGAGAAAACATCTGTCAGGCCCATAGTCTTGAGGAGACAATGCAGCGAGGCAGCGAGGGAGCGATCTGAGATTCAGTGTCAGCTTCTCCCTAGTCTGACATCAGTTAGAGACGGGCCCAACGGAATGAAACGGAAAGGCCGGAGAACAGAGAGAGACAGAAATGAAGCAGAAATGAAACTTTTGGAATACCTGTAGAATTCTCCTATTCTCCTCCCTCCTTACTCAAAAGAATGAACAGGAGAGCCACAGTGGGGAGCGGAGAATGACAGAGATGATTTTGGGGGAAACAAAAGGCTTTATAGTTGTTTTGGGGCCGGCGATGGTTTATCATTGCCCTGAGAAGGGCTGTGCTGTTGTGTCTCTGTGTACGAGACAGCCCATTCAGACACTGAATTCAGTCTTGTTGCACTGGATTCTGTTTCACGGAATCCCGGTTCAAAACATATTCTCTCCGAGCCGCTCTGGTTATTATGAGTCTGTGTCAAAAGTGCGGTGGCAGAAATGAGAATGGCGAGAGTACACAGTAATGTGCCTATGCAGCAGAAAGCACTCCGGCATGGTGAGAGCTCCAATCTCACAGACGGGGCTCTCAGAGAGAATGTGTTTCTCTCTGTCTCCCTAGGGAGCCAAATGTGCTGACAAAGACACGGGCAAAAACACAGTTAAACAAATGGAGAGAGGAGCAGTTTCCTGTGTATTTGAATGAACACCCACATCCCAATCTCCAAACTTACAGAACTCTCTTGGCTTGAATGAACACCCACATCCCAATCTCCAAACTTAAAGAACTCTCTTGGCTTTATGAACACCCACATCCCAATCTCCAAACTTACAGAACTCTCTTGGATTGTCCGCAATATGATTGCAATACGTGTGCTTATGAGAAATGTATAGATTAGATACCAGGTCCCTGGAGCATTGACGTCAGCATTATATTTGAGGAGGATTCTAGTGATTGAACACTCATTATGCATGTTAGTGGCACAGGAAACATCTGGTAGGCCATCATCAATCAGTTAGACACTTGCGATTCATGAGTCATCTCTAGGTTTGTGCATTGGCCTGATGCATATCTGCCCTTACAACGGGTTCATTTATGCCCACTTATTCATGATTTGTCAATTCTATACAAGCAAGTAATCCTTAAATATGTATTTACCGATGGATTGCATGTTTATGTTTATCAGGGATAAAAGATTAGCATCTGGGTGATTTACAATACTTTAGATTATGATTATCAACACATCCTTCACATTAATGCTCCAATGCTGATCGGATGTTTCACATAGATTATTAAAGGGCATGTAAAGGATAAGCAAATGATTACTCAATGTTTACATGACTTTGTTAATGTTTAATGCTGTCATGAATGGCTTATTGTACTGTTTATGAGTTGGGTCGGTACTGTATATTGGCTAATGCTGCATTGGCGGTGAATAGATCGATTAATGTGTTGTAAATTCAAATCCAGTTTGAATCATTCTAATATTTTGCAGTGGAGCAGTAACATACAGTAGTATTCATGAGTGTTTTCTAAAAGTTTTATGTTGAGGAAGTTTTTTCTGATTAGCTGGAGAGGGTGCCAAGGCTTTCATCAACAAAGTGATGTGGGAGGATCTTAAACAAGTGGCAAGTGGGAACTTGCTTTAGATCAGGTACAGAGACGAAACAAACAGGTGTTGATTAGCCAGTTGACATCTACATCTGTTCCCGCCCACCAACAACATCCCACCGTGTCATCTACAATGATAGGAGCTCCGGGGGGAAAGAGACTTTAGGAGATGAGTCGTGCCTTTTCCTTGTTGTTTATTTTCCCCCTCACTCTCTTCTAAACACAGACAGGCAGACAGACACAGCTAGACAGACAGGCAGGCAGACAGATAGACACAGACAGGCAGACAGACACAGACAGACAGACACAGGCAGACAAGCAGACAGACAGACAGCCAGATATGCAGACAGACAGATAGATAGATAATGTAGATAGATAGACAGACCGCAGAATATGTAGAGGGGGAGGTTATGTTGCACCTGCTCATCAGACCAGAGGGAGGGGTGGTCTGGACTGTGGTTCCTGTCACGGTTGCAAGGTACCAAAGCCGCTCTTGTGGGATGATGATAAAGCACTTTTCATATTTGTCCACATGCACAGTAAACCTGCACTCCTCAGGCCATTAACAACACACCCAGGGAATGAGTGAGAGAGACAGGAGCTTGAAGTGGAGTGCCAGTTAAGGCCCATACTTAAACAATTATCAAAATATATTCCCTGTTTGAAGACCAATGACAAGTTCCACTAAAACCCAAATGGTTGATGATACCTGAAAAACTGTCAAATTCACTTTTCATGGAAGACTGTCTGAAAGGCAGATTATGATCTTCAAAAACCTTCTGACTGCAGGGTAACTGACAGTATGGATGTAGATTCTAACCCGATGCTCACCTGTTCTTGCAGACGCCAAGAAGCCGAAGCGGGAGGGGAAGAAGAGGGAGCGCACTCCGATGGACTAGTGGTGCATCATGGGAAGCAGGAAGTGAAAGGTGATGCTTATACTGCCCTATCTCAACATGTCCTATTTGTTTGTCCTGTAGGTTTATAGGGACCTGTAGAAGCTACACAACAAAGAGTTGGATAGAAGTGATACAATTTCTTTCTTTCCTAATTTCTCATAGGAAAATCTTGTAGGGGACTTAATACTCTGTGTGAATAATGCAAATTAAGCATTTCTTACTAAAATGCTTACCTAATAACATTTTGCAGGGCAATATTTGGAAAAACAAAATAAATTTTTCGTACTACATAACATCATTTTTGTTTGAGGTGACAAAGTTATTCTCACTCAAATTAAAAATCCTTTCTTTCATGTCTTGATTTAAAGCAGCTTAAAGTTAAAACCTCATGCCTTTATTGGGGTTTTAAAGGTTATTTTGTTGGTACCCTCAACAGCAAAATTGCTAACGACTTTTGTAACCATTTTTGAGGGCATACATTATTAACAAGAAACATAAGTACTCATTGATGTAAAGGAAATTCCTTTCAAAAGTTATCTACAGTGAAAGATGTAAACTATTGTCAGTTGACTGTATAAATTAGCTACTGTACTGTACATGTGTTAGTGTGTAAGATATTGTGTCCAGTATTAGTTCTTCCTGTTATTATACCTCACTTTGTAGTTCCCCTGCTCTCCAGTTGAACTCTGAGTAAAACTGTTATTGTAGTTTCCAACTGGAGTTGACCTGTCCTAATTATCGATTACATTAAAAAAAATAAAGTTTGAAATTATGTCCAAATATGTGTGATGTTTACTCACCCTGATTGAAATAATTGTATGTTTATATGAAATTATGGAAGCTTAACAATTTCGACCTAACAAGTGATACATTTCCCCACACCACTATCATTTCCATAATCTGGACACAAAATGCCATGAAACACTTTTCATAAATTTTATTTGAATTGATTTAAAAAATGAATATGGCACAATACATCCACTGAATATGGTTAATATTTTACAGCTTCATAAGTGGCCAGTGATATTAACACTCAGCTTCATTGTCCAGAACAATTAAACAATCAACTAATGATGCAAAGGATATCATTAACATTATTACTGTACATTAGGGGTGAGGGAGTATCATATTAGGATGAGGGAGGGTGAGAAGGGAACATTCAGATACCTATTAAACATGTGTAGACCTATGTACATTTCAACTGTACCTCATCCAAATTACATATAATGTATACTATAGAGATATATACAATTCAAACAAAACGTTTTTAACAGACAATATATCAACCATATTAGGAGCCATGAGCCACAGTGGATGAGCGCACAATAATACGATTTACATACTGACGCAACTGAAAAATGAACACCCAGTACACTCAAAGAAAACAAAGGAGCTATCTAGAACCTAAAAGGGTTCTTCGGCTGTCCCCATAGGATAACCATTTTAAGAACTATTTTTGGTTCCATGTAGAACCCTTTTGGGTTCCATGTAGGACCCTTTCCACAGAGGGTTGTACGTGGAACCAAAAAGGGTTCTCCCAGGAACCAAAAAGGGTTCTCCTATGGGGACAGCTGAATAACCCTTTTGGAAGAGAGTACACTGTATATACATTTCCCACACTGCAGGTTGTTATCATTTGTATTCCGTTTGTCCATTTGAAGAGACATTCCAGTGAAGTCACACCTACAATGGTTCAAAATGGTTAATTCCCTTGAGACAAGACTTTGAATATGTTTCAATAACAATTCCCCCAGATATCTGGAAGATGTCCAGACGTTTCCAATACTACACTGCATGTTGTAGCAGCTGGTCTCACAGTTTCTCCCTACGGTCAGTCTGTGTCCCTTTTCGCTCATCACTCATTTACAAGTTGAGACAAAATGGATGCCGAACACAAATCCCTCTTGGCTGATCATCAGCACTTCATTGTTTGTCAGTAATAGATTTTTTTCTCTACAGATACAGCAGGTTACCAATTGATTCTCCTCTTCGACTGATCGCCAGTCTCACAAAGCCCAAACATGGGACAGAGCTAGAACAAAAACAAGTGGGACAGTTGAGTCTACTTTAGTTCAGTTTCAAATGTCAAAAGGCAGTGATCCGTTCTCTAGAAATCTTTCTCTCAGAATTGCGTTTGTTTTTCTCATCCACTGACACTCCAATAAACACATGTTCAGTCTGGATGCAGTACTCATCTAACACATACTGTTACACTGTTCAATTCTATATTTTGTACAACAATATAATAGATATAGCTTTATAAAATGTGATACAAAATGTACAGTATGATGAACATATGTGTTTAGGCAAAAATAAATGTTTGTCTTGTATCTTTATCTTTCAGTGTGTGTCTTCGGAAGCCACTTGCTTTTGAGACACTTTTCATTCGGGGAATGTGAGGACAGAAACAACATTGATCCTTCAGTGTTTCCTGCCCCCCTGAATGCAATGTGTGGCTTGTGTTTCTATGGGGTTGTCTTTATTTACAGATTCCACTTGGTGCTTTGACATGCTAAGGTTCTCTTATAAATCAAAACATTGTACCCACCCACACATTCTATTGTACACCGACACATGCAGACAAACGCACACACACACACACACACACACACACACACACACACACACACACACACACACACACACACACACACACACACACACACACACACACACACACACACACACACACACACACACACACACACACACAGTCTTGCGCAGCTAACCTTGTGGGGACATACAATTCAGTCCCATTCAAAATCCTATTTACCCTAACCCTAACCCTAACCCTAACCCGTACCCTAACCTTAACCCTAACCCTAACCTTAACCCAAAAACCTAACCTTAACCCTAACCCTAAACCTAACCCTAGCTCCTAACCCTAACCCTAAAACTAACCCTATCCCCTAACCCTAAACCTAATTCTAACCCTAACACTAATTCTAACCTTAACCCTAAACCCCCTAGAAATAGCATTTGACCTTGTGGGGACCAACAAAATGTCCCCAGTTGGTCAAATTTTTCTTGGTTTACTATTCTTGTGGGGACTTCTGGTCCCCAAAAGTATAGTTAAACACGTCCACACACACACACACACACACACACACACACACACACACACACACACACACACACACACACACACACACACACACACACACACACACACACACACACACACACACACACACACACACACACACACACACACATTTTGACATAGAATTAAGCATAATGATTATGGCTCTAGATTGCAGAATAAAACTGTTTCAGGTGTTTGAAAAATGTAAAATTCTCTAACTTCCGGACGGGAGGCATAGCCCCCCTCAGGACCACCCACCAGCCAACCTGACATACTTTGTGCTCCCTCAGATTCTACACACACACACACACACACACACACACACACACACACACACAAACACACACACACACACACACACACACACACACGCTAAAGAACCCTCCAAACCTCCGGGGATGAAATAGATAAATGTTTTCCCCCTTTTACTGAACCTGTGCCTTCCACGACCACAATGAAGAAGGAGAAGATAAATCTATTAGGCTTTAGAAGATCTTGTGCTTTTCTACATCCATGACTGTCACCTTAAATTGCACCACCATCTAACAAAGATTTCATCAACTGAAAATATAAGACATCAATTTAAATATCAATGAGCAATTATAAGAATGGGTAATAAGTAATAAGGCACTTGAAATTGCTCAGTATACAATGTGCCGATATATTGTCTGTTTCAGATACACTTCACATACCACATCGCCTTGGAAACATGGCTGTAAGTGGCAGAAGTAGCCCAACTATCTCAACTGGAAACAGAGACTCAGGATGCTCCCATCTCAATGGGTAACTACCCTCTGCTCAAGAACAGACCACAATCTAAATAAATACTCTTTCACACTTTTGTCAAGTACACTATAAAAACAACACAACTCTAACTAACTAACTAACTAACTAACTACCTAACTAACTAACTAACTAACTAATAAACCAAAAAATCAACCACAATCATACATTTAGGGAGAAATAAATCTCCCTAAAAAGGTTTAGCCCTTTGAAACAAGCCGTGTGAAGAGGAGCCCAGCTAGCTCAGACGGCACATGATGATCTGTTGACGCCATGGAGACAATGTTTATGTGATGAGAGGGAATTATAACAGTGGAATGAGGCTCTTTGTACGCCGACAAGTGAATCCACTCGATGAAAAATACACCCCACCACATGGACAGAGAGCTATGTCCTGTTGTTACATTATGGTAATAAAAAGTCTAGCCAAAATCCACCTGAGAGTTACTGTTCTCCATCATTTTGTTTCCATCATTCTCTAGACTATACAGTAGTGTGTGATTCCTGAAGGATGGGTCATTTATTTTGTGGAAACCTTTGGCTGACCCTGTCTGAAATGGCTGACAGTATCCAAACATGGTACCTAAGATGCGAGAGCGTGTTGTGTATCCTGTGGACGACAGGCCACCTTTCTGCAACTGTGACTACAAAGGCTGGTTTATCGGGCCGTACAAAGTGGACACCGCAGGATTTATTTTGTCCTATTAGTCAAACAATATGCAGTTGACGGGTGAGGAGTGCTAAAGGGTGTGAGCTTTTCCACTGTGTCTGAAAGTAGCTGAAAGAGCATTCCGCTGAGACGCAGTGTTTGACAGCAATCTTGTCTGGGGGCGGTGAACCCCGTCCATCCATAGGTGATAATTGGCTGTCACTTTTCATCATACACCCTGATAACTGTTCTCAAAAAAGACCCAGCCCACCAGTTGTGTTGGCGAGCACTTACTTTCCTGCTGGTTTCACTCAAACAACAGTTTAGCCTGAGATGAATCAGACATTCCGTTCTGGGAAGCTAGGAGGCTCTTAGCAACACCAACCACTGAGACGTGTGACAGATGACACCCAGACATGGGTCCACTTATCAACCTGACGGATGGCTGGATTGTGAACTTGGATGGATGCCTCGCGCACACTGCTGGGCTCGTGCAGTCAAACAGATTGACTGAATTATACGTGCCAGGCTTCCAGAGGATAACCTGCATTTAAATAAGGAAGATTGCATCATCCTCTTGCACTTCCTTTGCCATCACTATTTCCATTAAAAGCAGAATGTATTAATAATTACTCATGACCTCAATTTTGTGTTATTTTGACGCCTCTAGTGAATTTGCAGTAGGTTGCGTTGTCTTTTATCTTTATAATATTGGGGGCGATGTTAGTCATAACAGTGTCATTAAGGGGGAGGAGACACTGGGGGACAATGTCAGAGAGAGAGAGAGAGAGAGAGAGAGAGAGAGAGAGAGAGAGAGAGAGAGAGAGAGAGAGAGAGAGAGAGAAAGAGAGAGGGATAGTAAATGCCTTTAAACAATGCCCTGATATAGGGGACGTCACAGTCACACATAACGGGATCAGGAGCGAGTGGGACACTAAGTGGTACGGGAGGGGAGGGGCTGTGTAAACCCAGCGTGTAATGGCCAATCTTTAATCTCCAGTAGGTGTTCCACATCATTTTATAATCTGATCAGGCTCATGGTGAGTTTCCATTATAGGCCTGTCCCATATCTCTCTTTTAGGAGACTGCCTTTTAAGGGCTGCTCAATGCGGGTGTAATTTTCTGTTAAGCCCCCCTAGCAACCAACGTGGCGACCATCCCATGGCTGCTTTATATTCATTAATTAAATTGGAATTCATTAGCATGTTACAGATAAATGGACTGTGTTGGAGATTAGCATTCGGTGTGGACGAAATGCATGGAAA